AAAGTTGAGTCAGAGTATTATTGAAATTAATTAAAATTAATGATAAGTCCAGATATGAAGCATCTGACTTCACTGCAGGCAGACTGTAGTGACAATATTTGGACCCATTACTTAAAAAATGTTCCAATATAATCTCCACAGTCAGCAATCAGCAGCTTTGTCTGCCACGATTTTCCCACAACATTTGCTTACGTTATGCTTTTATAGTTGACTCCCTTTTTAAAGCGTCTGCTGTTCCCAGAAGCCTTCAGGGGAATTTGAGGAGGAAGGAAGTGACGTGATGTTGAGTCGAGCTCTGTAATGTGACGGGATTAATGAATAAGAAATGGTTTAAGGGAAATCAAAAGCAGGAGAGGTCTTTGATCTGTAAAAGCCGCAAGTTGGCAATGTTAGTTATAATAATTTCGTTCCTGGCAACAAAAAAAGCTTAGTGCTGATTTTTAAAAGCAGCTTGTGCTTCTGTTGCTGGGAGTGTTAGGAAAACTCAGCGTGGACAACTCTAGGAGTTCAGCCTGGTGATTTATTTGGATGTATTGCATATCTATAAACATTATCCAAATGCATCTGAGAAGTTCAACAAGAAAGTAGTTAGAGAAAAACTCGACCAGTCACAGTAACAAACTTAGCTGGACAATAAATTGTTCCAGAAGTTATTGCGATAAATGATAACGTTGTTGTGTTCAGACCATGTTTAAGTGATATTATGGTAGTGGCAAATATAATACAAGAGCACATTCTGAAAGATATGTAACCTTTAAATCTAATGAACATTTAACACTGGAACTGGAATCATTTTAAATATACAAAATAAATAACCAAAACAGCAAATACAATTAATTTTAAAGACTTTGTGAACAAAAAAAGGGTTTAGTTGAGACCAAAGCACCAAACTTACAAAACCTCTTCCAAAATTATGTTACATATGAAATAGATCAGAATTTTAAAAATGCCATTTTTTAAGACAATGGAATTGAATTTACAACTATAAAACACTCTCAGTCTAGTTGTCAGAGAAATTGGAGCTCAGTGACGCTGAGGCCAATGTATTTAAGAGTAAAAATGCTCACGCCATTATTTACCAGTATGATGAATTAAAGACTGACTGGATTCACCAGAATGCTTTTAAAGCCCCAGAAGGAAGCCGGTTTGTTAGGTCTCCAAGAGACAACAACTCAGCTGACTTCTGCATCTTTACTGGAAAGAGTGCCATTTAATTCTCACATTGAAGCTGGAATATTTACTGGAGATACTATTTTTTTGAGTCGACTAGAGTTTAAAAGTGTCCATTATCCTTCTATGAATATTTATATGTATGTAGATGAATTCATTTATCTTCATTTCCTTACAGTTTTCTTCTGCTGCTCTAATGAGGAGAAGAAGATGCTTTAGCAATCTGATATAATCTGACGAGGACTTTCAAGTAATAATTTTAAGAAGATATTTCATCCTTTTCAATAAACCCGAATTCACTGATTGTTGCATAAGCACCTCATTGGAAAACAGGCTGCAAACAGGGAAACGGTGTAAGAGGCCTTTTAGCAACGCTTTGCATTCATGCTAACTCTTCTCAGTGTCTCAGCGTGCCGAGTGACGAGGCTTCCCTGGGAAAACTAAGCTGAATCAGTTCAGACCAACATTACTGTGCAGGCTGCAGTTTGGAGTGAAGCGTCAGCTGGGAGGTCATGACCTCTGTGTTTATGGATGTGTAATGAAAGAGAGACAGTGGAGGACAGAACAACTTGAAGTGTCCTCATTAAGCAGCATCCTTGTTTTTAAAAAGGTTTTTTAGTTGGTTCAAGGCAACTAGAAATTACAAATTTATGTTTCAACTTTTGTAGGAAGATTTTCCAAAAGTTTAAGGAGTGTTAATTTTTTACCCTTCTTCCAGAAGAGCATTTAGAAGGTCAGACACTGATGTTGGACGATAAACCCTGGCTTATATTTTCCATTTAAATTCAGTGGGTTGATGAAACAGGAAGGGTCATTCTCCAAACTGTCCCCATAATGTTGGAAATGTGAAATAGTCCAAAGTATGGCTGCACCGATTGCAGTTTTCTGGCTGATCACTGATCTTTAGAAAGCCCAAACCTGCCCATGCAGATTTTGACTGATTTTTTTTATCTGGAGATTCACTAAATACTGTGACAAAATGGCAAAGTTTCCAAAAGTCTGATGACTGTTAACATGTGCAGACGTGATCATCACTCTGATGCAAACCATGGCTGATCTTCAGCCGTAGATAAGATCAGTTTCACATGTATTTATTCACCAACCTCTGCTCACCCAAATTTAAAGCTGCAGCATCAAACTTTTACAGATTTGTTACATATTTGTTAAAATTGTCATTATGTTGTGACTGATAATCTGTGAAAAAAATGACCTTCTGCCAGTGCTCTCACTACCAACTGCAGAAATATACCACTTAGTCAAAAACAACCAGTCAGAGCCAGGAGGAGGGTCTTAGCGCTGTCAATCAAGCTCATGCTCACCCCGTCCCGCTTCCTCTCTGCTACACTACAGCTGGTTCACCACAACATAGCTTGCCATCAATGCTAAGGCTAGTTAGCGTAGCCACTGGTGACGGCAGGTAAACAGTTTTCTTGGAACCCTGACTTGTTTCTCCACCTTTAGCACTTTGAGCAGCAATAACTGCCAGATTAAAAATGAATCGATCTTTGATTGGGATCGATGCGCTTCTTCAGATGCTGACAGCAGCTCATGGAGGAAGAGGAGATCAGATTACCTGTCAGTAGACTGTCACATTTGACAGTTTTAACAAATACAGAATCAACATATTTTTGTAAAAGTTTTAAGGAAATCGGAGCCGATCGATTGGTGCAGCCACAGTGTCTTGTTGTGCTGACGAATCGCTAACCTGAAGGTCAGCCCCACTATAATTCCCTTCACATCAAACTTTACATTTAACTCAGGCAGGAACATGGCGTTCTCCTGGAAACGCCCAAACCCAGACTCCAGACTTCAGGCAGGATTTATTGGTGAAAACAGGAAGCCTCAGCGCTCCAGTCTTCACTCCAAAGCATCTGATGTGATGTAAGGCCTGGGCGAAGCTGCACAGCAATAAAACCCAGTTTTTAAAGATCTCTGTTCCTGTTCTTGAGCTAATTTGATGGCCGCATGAGGCTTCAGGGCCGGGGTGTCCAAACTTTATGGCAATGTCGAGTTGTAACTCTGAGGGCCACAAAATTTATCATATTTCTAATTATAATCGCAAAAACAATTTTATTTTGTTATTTTTCCTTGCTAAATAAACTAAACACACATTACTTTGATGAAATAAGCAAAGCAGTCAGATATCTGTAGTTCTTTGTTGACTGAAAACAAAAAAGGGTGTTTCGGGTTTGCCAGATAAATAAAAAACAAAACAGTAAATCATAAACAAAATTTTTCATCTTTTTCTGTTATTTTTTTTTGTCTCTTTTTAGCGACACGAAAAGGTTATTTCTCAGTTTTTGGTCCCCATTACAAATAAATTAAATTCAAAGCAAAACCCTGGATGAATACTTTGTTTTGTACATTTTAAGATTTTAACCAGCAAACCAAATTTATGCTAAATATGATCAAGGGCCGCCCCAGAATTGTTCAGAGGGCCGTAAATGGCCCCCGGGCCGCACTTTGAACACCCCTGCTTTGAGGTGTACTGACTGTGTGGAGTCGTTGCGATCGTTCCCATGGACTCAACCAAATTTAGCAGTGAGGACGTAGTGCACAGATGGCTTCACATCACAGTGTTACATGTAGAAGCATGTAATCCTGTCTGGGCTTTACACACCAGTCAACTCAAGAGTTGGAAACACATGAATTTAATCATTTGGATTCGTAGGCCAAAACCTTTGGTAATATATAGTATAATGAGATTAAATTATATACACAGGAACCCAATTTACTAAGGAACTGAAATCTGAAAGCAAGTGATTGTAGTTTTTTTATTTTATTTAGGGGTTTCAGAGTAAAACAAAATCCCGAGCCTTTATGTGATGATTTTACTGTGTTTCTTATTCTTTTGTTCTTTGTATAAATTCTTATTGTGCTTTGTGATTTTACTTCCTAAAAGTTAAAATTTAATTTAAAAAATTTATTTTGGCTAATTTCCATTTCTAATCCCTTTGGCAGGTTGGTGTTAAAGGGATTAAAAACAGGAGAAATAAAAAACACAAAATAAAGGTACAGAATAAGAAATGAATTAAACAAATATAACATCTATACATATTTGCATCTATTTAGTGACATTTTTGGCTTTTCAATAGCCAGTTTTTATGATTTTTGAATATAATTAATATTAATTCACACCAGAAATTTAAGGTTTTCATTTGCTAAAAAAATTTAAAATCATGTCATTATTCACTTCTTTGTGTTTATCAGTCACATAAAAACCCAGTAAGAAACAGAAGTTTGTGGTTTTAATGTAAATGTGGAGCTTCCTGCTGAACATGGATGTTTTTCTGACTGTGGGTGAGCACATGTGATTTTATGGCATAGCTGCCCACACCATCATCATCACCATCACCATCATCACCATCATCATCATCATCATCATCACCATCACCATCATCATCATCATCATCATCACCATCACCATCATCACCATCATCATCACATTCAGTCGCATCCTACCCAGAAGTTGACAGAAAAGCTGTGCAGAGCAGGTCTTGTTATTAAGAAGAACTTTATGTCATTAAATCCTCCTTGTGTGTGAGAAGGAAAGCGTCTACTGTGCCTGTGATGTTGCTGCTTGTGCATTTGTGTGTGTGTGTGTGTGTGTGTGTGTGTGTGTGTGTGTGTGTGTGTGTGTGTGTGTTGGTGGGTGAGAGAAAGAGAGAAAAACACGCTCCTCCACCAGTTACTGGGGCGGGGGATCGAGCAGGAAGCTGCACACTGAGGCGGCCTCTCTCTGTAACGTTAAATCACGTTCACGGTGCGCCTGAAATGCGGTAGTAATCGCATTTCAATAGAAGCAGATCGAGTAATAATCAGCCCCCATTCTCCCCGCCCCCCATCTCCCCCCAGCATGGAGCGGTGCGCCCCTGCGGGGCCAGAAACGCATCACTGGAATCAATAAGCGGTGCGGGCAGACGGGCTGAGGAGGCTGGAATGAGAAGCACCTGGATCCCGGAACATCACACAGCTGACATGTCGACTGATCTGCTGCACCTCCATGTCTGGATGGAAGCAGGAAAAACCATTTGGTGAGGAGCGCACGAGCGCGCACGCGCAAAACTCCGTCCCTATGGGAATCTTGTTGGATGTATAACTAAGGGATCTCCTGCCCATCCTTGCACTAAACGACAGGAAGGAGCCGGAGTCCGGTTCGGTTCTGGTCCGGCATATAAAACATCACCAGCAACAATCAACAACAACCCCACAGAGGCAGCGGCAGCTCGAACTGGGTGGTGTAATTGCCAGGCTCCCAGTGGCAAAGAGCTTAGTTGCAGCCATGATTAATTACAAGCAACACATTCTAGTAGGCCAGCATTCAGAGGCATCTCCTGGTGATGCTCCGGAGCCCCGCTCCTCTGCCTCTTCTCCTCCCCTCCGCCCTGCCTTTAACAAACCCATCACCTCTCTGACTGGATGCAAAGGGAGCGTGCCCTAAATAAATGCTGCTGTCTGAGTGTTGCCAACACACCTGTCAGTCCCTGACGCGGACAAAAGCAGCGAGCGATGCACAGTTGGTCTGATGCGAGCCGAGACTCCCTCCAACACGCACATACATGCACAGACCGAACCGCCTGCCTTCCGCGGCTTCACAACACCGCGGAGTCAATGCAATTCACCAGTACGTGCACATTTCTCTTCTGCGCCGTTTCTGCATCTCCTCTCAGTTTTTTTCCTCTCTTGTCAACAGAAACTGGGTTGCGATGGGGCGGTGTGAAGTTGCATCCTTACCACAGTCATCGCGGGAAGTCTGGAGTGTCCATGTTTGGTGCTGGAATTAAAAAATAAATAAAAAATGTTTTTAGAAACCCCTTATCCATCCATTTCGGTGTGAGCGCCGCTCTCCGAAAGTAGCCTTCGCGTTATTTCCCCCCCACATGTAAGGCGGGAGGCGGGGGCGCGGAGGGCGCAGGCAGGGAGAGACGATCCGCCACCTTACCACAGACTCCCCCTCAGCCGGATCGGGAGGTAATGGGTCTTAAAGAAACATCCTCTCAGCATTCTCCGCATCTCTGTGATTTACGCGCGCGCGACACGCTCTCGGCGCGCGCGCGCGGACGGTCATTGGCCAATCAAACAGCTGATTAAATATACAGTTACCAGATACAGGCCGAGTTTTCTCCTCCAACTTCAACATTCTGCCTTTAAAAAAGGAAAATGGTGTCAAATTCACCACGTTACGTTAAATGTGAGCTAAAAGGAGAATTAATTGACTGAGGATTCTGTTCTGTTTGATCACCGGGATCAACTGGATCCGTTTGATTGGACTGAAATTATTTTTGTGTAGTTTGTTGAGAATTTGCGTTATATAAATAAATAAATTGAAAACTACTTGTTATTATTTTCTACATTTAATATTCTTTCTCCTCTGAATAACAGATGTTCCGATTGATTGTCATTTGGATTCAGGTCTGGGCTTTGACTAGGCCAATATATATCTAATCCTTTCTATTGTAGCTTTTTGCTACATCAGAGGTGAACCTCCATCTTCCGATCATCTGCGATAAGTTTTGTTGTCCCTGTTGAAGACGTAGCATCCATCCCACAGCATGCTGCTGCCACCACCGTGCTTCAACATGTTCCTGTCTGTGTTTCAGTGATTCATGTTCTGTGATTTATGATTAATAACTTCTTAGTGACACAGGTTCATATTTATCATTACTGGACCCAGGATGTGATTTTCTTGAAACTTCTGCTTTGTACTCTCATTTCAAGTGTGGTTAAATTTTCCAGTTTTGATTAAATTACATGTTTCTAAATGTTTTTTGTTTCCATCTTAAGGCTAATCAGGAAAAAGTATAAACTACAAATTTCAACATCAAAATGACATGCAACAAATACAGAACACAATATTTGGAAGTTTTTGTGTCTGAACAGCAACCTAGACCAATTAAAGATTCAAGAATTTTAGAACAAATTTTTAAAAAATGGGATTTTTTAAATGAAAAAAACTATTTTGATCTGCTCAATGTCCAAACTTGTGTTACATAAAAGTTATTTAAGCTAATTTAAAAGGCGTCATTGTCGTGATATTATGTTACAGATATTGATTTGGAGCACTAATAATACATCCTGATGCAGGACAAAAACATTCACCGTTTGTTTTGAATTTAAAACCTTAAATAAAAACCTCTTTTGGTGTTTTCACACGTTAAATAAACCTTTAAATATTTAAAGACAATGTGGCAGTAAATGTTAAATATAGGAGCAATGAGTCGAATTGGAAGCTCTAGTTCAGTTTTCTCAAGATCCCCTAAGCAGAGTAATGCCCTGGGCAAAGAGCCATGTGAAAAAAACCAAGCACTTCTTCCTTTAGCAACAGCTCACATCCGAAATGATCTTTCTCCTTTTCTGCAGCATGAAATTAACCCTCATTTACTCTGTTCCGAGTATTATTCTTTTAATATACAATATAGAATGCAACATTAAAAAACGTAACTGGATATATTTCATGCAGCCACAGACGAATTTACTTCACCAGCAGCACATGCATTAAAGCTACTGTCATAAATATGCATGCTGATATAGATATCACATCTGCAAACAGATCAGTAGATCAGTGTGTGTGTGTGTGTGGGGGGTGGGGGGGCTCAGTAAACATGAGGTGGTGCGGTCTTTAAGAGTGAGGGAGAGAGGGAGCCTGGGAAGGGGTGATGTAATGTGTTCTCAGACAATGATGTCATCGGCTGAGACACGCTGAGGATTTAAAGTGACAAAGGCTTTTTTTTTTCGCAGGAGCTCCATGTATTTCTGCGTCGGGTCTCCGCGGAGAGCTGCACCCTATAGCACATGTGGGACCTGGCAGACGATGAGGCGGAAACGTGAAGCTCTGACAGCAGCCGGAGCCGCGGCGTGAACAACGCTCCTTTATTATCGTCGTTATTATTCAGGACATCTGAGATACAAAAAAAAAAGCACTTTTCACAGCGATAAAAACAGGATTATGTTGCCAACAAAAACAGCCATCAAATATAATTTCAGTGAGTATTAGACGCATGCATTAAAAGGAATGGAGGTGTTAGCATTTAAATAGGATATTTGACTGCACCTGTCTAGTTGCAAAAAACACAATTTCACTTGAATAAATAAGATTTCTGGTGACAGATTTCAACCAACATCCTCCTTTATGTTCTGTAAAATGAAAACATTCAAGTTTATTGATGGTTATACATTATTCTGCTGTTATACGTTCTCACAGCTGGGCCCAGTCCAATCATCTCCAGTGAAAAGTATTCACACCCCCTGAACTTTTTCAGTCATTCTGCAACCTCACGCTTCAGCTTTATTGGGATTTTAGATAAAGACCAAATCAAAGTACTACATGATTTAGAAATCCCCCCCTCCCCCCCATAAACATCAATTTTCAAATCTTACCAAAAATCTTTTGGACTTTAACTAGGTCATTCTAACATGTTAACGTGTTTTGAGTGAAACCAATCTGTTTAACAGCTTCTGTTCTTTCATATAATCTGACAGGTTTCCTCTGACCTACTGAAAGTAAAACACCACACAGCATGATGCTCCCTCCACCTGGTTTTACTGTAGGGATGGCCAGGTGTTAGTGTTTTGCCACTCCTAGCATTTTGTGCATTAGCAAGAGGAAATTGGACTTCCTGTGGCTTTCTTTTCACCACTCTTCCATAAATTGTTTGAAAAGTCGTCCTGTGAACAGATTCACCTCTCAGCTCTGGATCTCTGCAGGTTTTCCAGAGGTACCAAAAGTTTCTGGGGTCAAATATTCAGATTTCTGTTTGTAAAATTAAACTTATACCCTCTTTTGAGTTGGTCTGTCATATAAAATCCAAATAAAATGCCATGAAGTTGTTGGTCGGAATGGGACAGTGTCTTTTCTTGGATCTACAAACTCGTCCGGAGGACCGTAACCCTCGGCTTTCCGAAGGACGCGCTCCGGATGATTCTTCCTCCATCACAGTCGGTCGCTCCACCGATGGAGCGTCTGTTTCCTCGGTTTTCCTCATCCGTCTTCTTCTCTTTACTTCCTCTGGAACATTTCTTTGTTTCCTCACATCCCTCTTGCTTTGTGTTCAGATCTTCTGACTCTTTCTTCACACGGTGTTTCTCCTCTGTCTTTGTGTGGCCTTCCAGTGCCTGAGTAGAATCCGTCTCCGGGACACAAGCTCCCGTTTCTGAAACTTTTACTTCATCTTCCCGCCCGAATTGCTCTGCTGGACTTAGTTCACTTGGATCCGATGTTGGATCCACCAGAGTCTCGTCCTGCATTTCTCTCGTTAACTCCAGAGATTTATTTTCAGCTGCTGCACCTTTTCCATCCAAACTCTCTAAATGAGACGGCGTCCCAACATTGCCGGTCCTCGCCGGTTCTTCGATGACCAACGTTTCTTCCTCCTCTGGTCTGCAGGACGTTTGATCGTCGCTCTTTATGTCTGAGTCGGAGATGCTGATGTCGCAGGCGATCTTGTAGAAGAGCGAGTGGTTCTCCTTCATCTTCTGCAGGCTTTCGGTCACCGTCGCCGACATCTCGTTGAGGTCGTTGGCGTCATCAGAGCACGGCTGGGCGTCGGGTTCCTCGTTCTCCTCGATAGACAGCGGCTCCATCTGCAGCGGTATGAAGCCCTGCCACTGGTTCGTCGACAGGAACCACTTTGTCCTCAGGTGGGAAGACTTCAGTTTCTCCTCTTTGTCTTCTGCAGCGAGTCCTTCGGGGTTTTCCTGCTCTTCATCGTTGCAGCTTATGAATCCTTTGGCTCCGTCGTTTTGGTAGACGGTCATGGATGAGATGTGATACGGAGACGCTGAGCGTCTGCTTTTATTGTTGGCAGCTTCTGCTCTCCCGCTGTGCTGTGCTCTGTTCTCAGTCTGGACCCGACTTTTAGATTTAACTTCATGACAACTCTGAGACGTTGAACCTTGAAGATCTCCTGATCTGCCTAAATCATCCAGACATCCATGACTTCCTGGAGGTTGGAAAGAGGGAATCATTTGTCAATAACTCAGTTATTTTCTGTTAGTTGTGTTTCTGTCTGTTCCAGTACCTGCTGTCGGCCATTTTCCTTCAGCCGAGTCAGAACGAGCCTGGTGAACTTCCTTCCTCTCCCTCCTGATTGGACGCTGACTGTCTGTCGTAGAACTTTCTCTGGCTGCGCTGAGAAACGGACAACAAACAATTTGTGGACGTTTGCTTCTGTGCAGGGCGTGTCTGCACATTTCACCCAAAGCAAACCCACCTTCTCATCACTCTTTCTCGTATCCGTTCGACTCGTCGGAGTTTGGCTTCGCGCTGCTCGGAGCTCACACCAGGAGTCAGGTCAAAGTCAGCAGCCGACGACCCTTCAGCTGCCTGGTCAGAGGGATTTTATTTAGTTTATCAAGTGAATTAAAGGAATTTTAGGATAGAAAATATAATCTGGGCTTTTTAGTTCTTAAGTGTTTTCAGGTGTAGGTGAGGTATAATTTTTCCCCTCAAGTTGTTATTTTTTCACTGCAAAAACACAAAACCTTACCAAGTATTTCTGGTCTAGTTTCTAGTACAGATATCTTAGTACACTTCAAATAGGACAAATTAACTTAAAATAAACTTTTCAGCAAGATGTACAGCCCATTGTTTTAAATAAACAATTCCTTATTATTGATGAAAACATTCTTGACCCAGTGGCAGATAAATTCACTTATAACATGGGAAAATGTTTTATTATAAGTGAAATAATCTGCCAGTGGAACTAGAACTGGGTTGCTAGGTAACAGGCGGGGCTTGGCAGGGGTTGCTAGGTAACGGCGCCAGTGGAACTAGATTTTTTTCCCCAATATTAAGGAATTATTTACTTAAAACAAGCCTCTGTATCTCGCTATAAATCTATTTTTAGGTTAGTTTTGTCTTATTTCATGTGCACTCAGATATTTGCATTAGAAACTAGACCAAAAATACTTGGTAAGATTTTGTGTTTTTGCAGTGTTCTCATCTAAAAGAGCCTCAGGCATCTGGCTACTGATGTCTTATGTTGTTTTTGTTGTTCTTTCTTGTACTGAAGTTAATTTTGTTGTGTTTTCTGTATAATGACAATAAAGGCTGATCGTCATTGTACTTTAACTTGAGTAAACTTTTACATGTAGTGGAGTACGTTGTTACCATGAGTATCGATACTTTTACTGAAGTTCTAGAGCTCGGTACTTCATCCACCCCTGCAGAGATGAAGCGGATGGCCCCCTCCTCACCTTGACGTCTGCGCTGCCTTGACCTCTTCCTGACCCCGTCAGGTGTTGAGCTTCACTTCTCGGGCTCTCTGATCCGTCGCCTCTGCTCACTTCTAAAAGCGGCTCCATCCTGGAGCTCCTGTACGCCGACGGGTGTTTCCTGCTGGCCTTTTTTGCAGTCTGATCCTGGTGCGGCTCGCGGGCGGCCTGGTTTGAGTCGGGGCTGTCGGTAAGCAGCCCCCTGGCGGGTTTGCTCAGGAGTTTTTTGCTCGGTTCCGTCGGTTTCTGCTGCGTTTCCGGCAGGATTTGTTCGGGCAGCGGAGCGTCGAGCTCAGCTGGAGGATCCTCGACAGAAACTCTTCTGGCCACGAGCGAGGAGGGCAGCACAGCTGTGACAACGCGGGTCACCCTCAAGGGAAACGGCGCCTGGCAAATTAGAGTTGAATCATTAAATTATGACATAATATCACATATATTTATACCTCAATCGGGTTAAAAACGACATGTTGTGGGCCTAACCTCCTGTCTTGTGTCTGAACTCTGATTCTGGGGTCCTGGAGTCGCCACTGGAGGTTTCCTCTTATTAGCCAACCTCTCCTGATTCCTCTTCATCCTCTCAATCTGCTCTGCCTCACTCATCTTCATTTTCATCTTCTAGGATGAGAACATAAGCTGTTTAAAATATATAATTGTGATTTAAAACATGTTTTAGGTGAATTATTTCTCGCATTCTGTAGAAAACTGCAAGAAAAGCAGTGTGTGTTGGTGAGTGTGTGTGTTCTGGGAGTAAAGGGTGGGGTGCAGGGGAACTGAGCTGTACCGCTGTTGTGTTGAAACATGAGCCTCTGGCGCCCCCTCTTGTCTACAGCTGGTATTGCAACATGCCCTAATTGCAGTGAGGATGGGAGAACTAAAGAATTAGAATTTGGCTGTGATTGCAATGAAAAAAAAAAAAACCCAGCTTTTACTGCGTCTATATTTAGCGTCTTTTGGCCCACTTCACAGATTATCATGGCAGAAATGAAGAAAAATCAAACCTTTGTTGGCTGGTTGGCTGTTTCTGGTGGGATCCACTTTGAACCAGACTGAGATTCTAAATATAAAAGACAAATAATCAACATGAGACACCATGGAAAGTGGGTTTAAGGTCAGAAGAGGAACAAAAATCCTCCCCAGATGAACGCAGGTTAGGATTTTGCAATGAAAAATACATGAGAGCTGGTATTAATAGATATCAACACACAGCACACGTCAGAATCAAAGTGTCCTTGTTTCTGCTGGTGTGTGTGTTGGTGCCAACCAGTTGCATCTCTCTGTGCTTTCACATTAAGGAGGTCAGGCTGGCTGTTTCCTCTCCTGTCGGCAGGATCAGCAGGATGCTCGTAGATTCTCTGAAACATAGAAACACGTTAAACGCACCGCCGTTTATCTGCCTCCTCTGGTGATGAACGGTGATAAAAGTCCCACCTCATACGGTGACTCTGGCCACACACGGCCCGGGTCCTGAGCCTGCTGGCTCTCCTGGAGCTCCAGGGGTAACGGAGGGCGCAGCGGCGGCTCCTGCTCCAAATCCTGCAGACGTTTGTCACACACTGATGAAACGCTCACCGGGGAAACATCCGAATGCTAAAATCCTGATGTTACATAATGACAGAGATGTAAGAGGAAGGAACATTTTATTCCTATGATATCCAGAGACATGTCAGTGATTCCTTCAGGCTGCTCAAAGGTGAGAGAGAGCAAGACTAACAGGAAGGCTGAGCAGAGAAAGGCAAGGTTTCAAGTTTGACTTGTTCTCAGGACCAACGTTCGGGGCATTTACTCACTAACATCAGATGTGAAACAGCTTAAAAGCCAATCATGGCCTCCTTCTAATATAAAAACAATTATTTAAAATGTTTTTCTGCTCTCTTGTTTTATATTTCCTAAATGAAAGTCAGAACTGAGTGAATTTGACATTAACAAATCAAAGCTTTACAAAAAACAGAGCTGAATGACCAGATCTGTGCTGTCCTGCTGACTTAGGATGCCTGAAAAATGTATCGATAATTTGGGTTTAGTCAGAGAACATCTGTGAACTTCATCAGGTTACCTGAGCAGACCAGTTTTTAAATATCTACTTGAATAGATTAAAGAGAAGTTGTGCATAAACAGGGAGAGCAGAGCGTCTTACTGCTGGCAGTCCGACTGGAAGCCCGTCTGGGGGCGAAGCAGGAGGTCCAGGAGGCACAAACTGGAACACTGCAGACAGAAACGTCTCGTTCAGTCTGCAACCTTCACCATTCAAAGAGCCATTTTTACCCCCAGTCCAGCTAAAGAAAACTCATTCAGAGACACAAATGTTACATGACCTGCTGATAAAAGACAATTTTTCATTTTTAATATACATCTACTATGGGACATGTGTTATTTTAAAGAACCACCATTTTATTTCTACTTTTTGGTTTTAATATAGAGAAAAACAAACTTTTTTTTTTTTTAAAAAGAGACACCGATGTTAATATTGGCAAAAGAAAAGCAGATTGTTTTCAACCTAATGACAAGAAAATTAGATATAAAAACGTTGTTGGTACTTTTAGTGTCATTCTGCTGTGGAAATTCAATTAAAAAGCTGAATCTAAAGCAGGGGGACCTTCGTTTTCGGAGCATCATGGTTGCATTCGACAGATGCTGCAACCTTTATGCAACATTACAAACTCATTTTTATCAGTTTGTCTTCTGATTTGGACATTTTGAGGTAATTCTCCTTCATTTTTGGATCAGTAGGAGAACCGTTGGTGCCATATCGGCTCTGCGCCTTCAGGCTGGTTGGTTTGTTCATGTCTGCAGCTCAGCTGAGCCTGAAAAGCTGGATCTGGGGTGAAGTCAGACCCAGTGTCAGTGTAAACCAAACTCTGGTTTCCCAACATTTCCAAACCTTTTTCAGAAGTGTCTTTGTGAGCATGTTGCTTTATTATTAAATTGATTATAATTTCAGATTTTTGTATAATTTCTGTTCAGGTTAACTTACAAACTGAGCCACTGTGGTTGCAGGTGAATTTTCTAAACTACAGAAAAGTAATTGTGAGGATGCACAAATATTGGTAGTAATACAGCTGTTATGGCAGAAATTACCAATATTTCATTTAATCAAATTTTTATTTGATTACTCGATTAATCACCAGATTACTCAATTACTAAAATAATCTATAAAAGGACTAACAAACAAATGCAGCCATTTTCGTGCTGCTAATAAGTAGCTCTAAGAAATGCCGCTGCGTTTTAATACAGGGACAGCAGACGTGTGTCTGAGCAGCAGATCATTCTTACTGTGATGTGTCTGCAGTCCCAGCAGGAAACAGAAATAATCCCGATTGACCTTCAGCCCGTCCAGGATGTCCTCCATCATCCACAGCTCCCTCTGAGCCTGACACTGCTCCTGATCGGACAGGGAGACATCAGGAGACGGTTTGGACAGCAGATCTTTCAGCGTTATATTAAAATAAACAAGTTTTTAAAATTATTTTAGCTGATGTCCAAACATGAAGAATAACAGTCAGACTTTAAGAGTTGCATAAAATTACCTGTGGCATTCCAAAGTTGGAGATGTGTTGAAGGTGTGAATGGATGACAGACAGCTCACTCTCCATCCTCTCATACTGACTCCACACTCGCTCCATTTCCTTCACACAGAAACACCACGATAAGAAAAACATATATTTATATATTTAAACTGCAAAAACATCTGCACAGCTTGTTCTCTGTTACACACCAGTGAGACGTCGCACACTCTGGCCCGGATTGTAACCAACTCCTCCTGCAGCAAAGCCTTCTGGGTGAGTGCCTCCTCCAGGGCCCGGGGCCCCTGGCTCCGCCACTCCTCCACCTGGAGCCTGGACACCTCCAGCGCACACTGGACGCTGTCCTGCAACAGAAACGCCTCTGTCATCTCATTTCCCAAACTCACTAAAACCTGAACAGTTTTTCCTCAGTTCTGAGTCACGATAATAAATTCTGCTGGACGATAAATTGTTTGAAAAGTTATTCCGATAAACGATAATATTGTTGTATTGAGACCATTTTTAAGTAACACAATGGTAATGATGCAATAACACATTCTGAAAGATCAATAAACTTTAAATTCTGATGAACATTTAACACTGGAGCTGGAAGACATCACAAATATCCAAAATAAACAAAAACAAAAAGACATTTCAAGTCTTTGTAAACAAAACTGTCCTTCAAAATAAGGGCTGGTTGAGACCAAAACACCAAACTGAAAACTTTATCATCCAGTTTGGTAGAAAGAGAGAGAGAAAAAAAGATAAATGATAAATCATACAAATGGAAATTATTTAGTTTGTTTTAATTTATCACGTAATTAATTGATTTATTGATTATAGTGACACATTTCTTTTACATTTACATATATATCACAAAATTATGCAGATAAACAGATCCGTTCTCTCTGGTGAACCACAGGGCTCCATTCCTGGATGTTTGCTTCTTTTCACTTTACCTGCTGCCGTTAGAAGAAACAAAGAACAAACTTAACATCTGTTTTTGTTCATATTCAGGTACATTTCCCCCCGAGTAGAAGAACATCCCCTTCTTGACTGTCTGGCTAACATAAGAAACGGCTTGGGACCAGATTTTCTGAATTTTGATTTATTTCAGAAACAAGAAAAACCAACAATCTGTAAAACAGAGAAAACATGTGTATGCATAACCAAGAAAAAATAATTGTTTTCCACTACTTCCCTGTTTGAAAAGGAGTGTGAAGAAGTGAACACTTATTTAATCCGACCCTGCGCTCAATTTAATTAAATATATTACTTATTGACTCAATAATGATCAAAAATCTGTAAATAAATCCATGTTAAAATGTCTCTGACCTATTAGAAAAACCCTGTTAACAAAGCTAAGAGTAAAAATGAACTTTCTCCTGAAAATAAGCAGCCAAGTTGAGCAGTTTAGGAATTTTATTTTATTTTGTTCTGAAGGCTGTAATCAATGCTTTTATCACATTTGGGCTCAAACACATTTTTACTTCCAGGCCTTTTAGAGTCATTTTAGTGGTTACTATTATATCTTATCTCTTTCTGTGCTGCATGTTGGTCAATCTTGTTGTTTTAAAGCTACTTTGTAAATAAGTTTGATTAGATTTGGAGATGATTACTAACCTTATCCATCTGTAGCTGGGTGAGCTCCACAGACAGAGACTGCAGCAGCTTGTCACACCCACACAGACGCGTCAATACGGCCTGAAGCAGAAAAACTCAGGCTCATTTCCACTAAGATAAATCACTATTCATCTATAAAAGCTGCTGAACTGGGAATACTCACATCTGCATCACTTTCAAGAGGCCGTATCGGCTGCAAATCCCTCTGGTCAGATTTAGACGCCTGGAAACAATTCCCAATCTTATTCTTTAAACGCAAATACGTACAATCCTACATATCACACACTCTGGACAGATTGTGAAATTATATTTACCCTTTAATATCAGTATTAAAGGGTAAAACTTGAGCTGCAGTAAGCCTCAGCAAGCTGTAAACATATTTTAAATATTTTTAAAAATTTGCGTTGTTGCAACTTTGCAAAAAAAAAAAAAAAAAAAAAATATATATATATATATATATATATATATATATATATATATATATATATATATATATATATATATATATATATGAAAATAAAAACAGTAAAAAAATACTCCAGACACAGTTAAAGTAAGCAAAATGCCGGATGCGTTTGGCGCCATCTAGCGGCTGTACCAGAGCTTGCGGAAGCACAGAGACCGGCACGTGAAGCTGGCGGGGCTGTTTTGAGGGGTTGGAAACATGCGCTGCCCTCGCTGCAGGGGGCAAAGGGGGCAGTAAATCTGCCCCCGTGGAGTGGCTCTGAAGGAAAACACAGGATGTAAATCAGATAAAAACTTTTTATATCAGGCTAAACCAACTGTCGACTAAAACCTCCCATGTTAATGATTTTATGGGAAGCTTTTAAAGTAAACACAACTTAAAATTTTGGGCTTTTTATTCTGTAGCCTCCCCAACAGCTGCTGCACATTAGCTTGGATATTTCGCTGCTTATTTTTGCACAACACTGTCATGTTTTCACCTTAGCCAAAGGTCTTCTCCCACTTGGCGTGTGGTGAACAGAACCGTATAAGGCGGCAGGCTGCGAAGAAACAAAAGAGAAACAACAGAGCTTCACTAAATACCACACGGTTAAATCCATGGGGACAAATAACTCCTGTTTTGTGAAATAATTATTTGGTTTAAACTGCAGCATTAAGTTAAAACTCACAATTCAAGACTAATGATCTTAAAAAACAATGTCAACTTGTCTCTTGTTGTTAAATAAACTTCATGAACTTACATTTATGAGTTAAAACCAAAACACTTTTCATGCTGACTTAACTTTTATCTTCAAGTTAAACCACGTCGTAATGTTTTACAGTGTAAGGTAATTTGCATTAACAGTGCTGACCTTGCTGAGGTTCTGCCACCTCTCTGTGACCGGGGTGGTGGGAGCAGACTTGAACTCCAGCTTAGGGGAGGCAGGTGTGTAGTACACAGTGACGGGGTCATCGTGGGGTCGAATGTCGACCCTTCCCACCGGGGTGTGGGGCCGGGAGCCCAGCTGTCCCCTCGAACCCAAAGAACCTGACCCCACGATGGCCGCCTGCGCTGAGTTTTCATCGTAAGAGTCGTCCTCCCTGTTTGAAGCAGTTCTTCTCCTGATTGGATCCGGAGGGCTGGGGGTTCGGTTCGACGGGCTTTGGAGCGTCACAGAAAGCGGAATACCAAACTGTAAGTTTCCCATATAAACAAATAGGATGTGAGATTGAGATTACTGACCTCCTGTTCCGGTAATGCACGCTCCGTCTCCCCCGGTGCTCCGACTGTGACCTCCCCACCCTCCCGCTGAGCTGACCTGGTTCGCTCAGGGTTCTGCTGACATGCCTGTGTTTTTGCGCCGGACTCTCCTCCTCAGTGGGCGATCTGGGGAAGTCCATGGACTCACTGCTGCCACCAAGCTGCGTAAAGTCTTGATAACTCGAGCAACGCCTAAACGGATCAGAGTTTTTGCATAAAAAGCTGTTCGTGCAGTGTCGCCAGGTGTACGATAATTATCGTATTTGTACGATAATTTTGCCCTCTGTGCGATGTACGATCAATAATCCCCAAAAAGGCCATAATCGATAATTTGACCATCCCGTGAATGTGTGTTTGCAATCAGCCTGTCGCAACTGTCTTTCAGAGTTTTTTTGTGACCCTGAAGGCATCTCTCACCGGAAACAGAAGCATTATTGGCTGGAAACTCCAACCAATCAATCGTGAGCTATGTGTATGCGTTTGCCTCGGAACAACGCCCATGCTGGGCTGAATAGTCCGCTGCGCCCACACCAAGTGACTAAAATGAAAAAAGAAACAGACACTTTAGCCTAACGGAACGGTGGGTGCGCTTTTGAATCCATTCCGTACTTTCACCACAAAGCGATGCCTACTATACGCTATCAAGAGTGACTATAGCGCATCAATAGACTTGTTATTTTAGTTATGACCATAATTTCCCTCAAGATACAATAATTTTAATGTCTCTGGTACGATAATCGTACATTTCTCGCCTGCAGGCCTGTTTTCGCGTCATCCTGCGTCATGGTAACTTTGAACTGCGTCATACCTGTTCATGGTGGTGTCTGGCTCCATCGCAGCTGATTGGCTCAGGGCTCGAACCCAACCCAACATGTCCTCCTGAGTGTCGGCGCTGAAGAAATATGACCGCATCCCCTGGTGCACCACCTGGATTCACAGGAACGGCGGATAAACCTCTATGCTGAATAATGCTCAGTGTGTTTGGAGGATAAGATCATTTATTAGTCTCCCGTAGGAGAAATTTGTCTGGGAAGCAGAGGCAAAAACTGCAGTAGAACAGTAAGAACAGCAAATCCAGAAAGAACAATAGCCATAAGTAAATGCATACAAGCAAAAAACAACAACAAAAAACAACATAAAAACACAAATGCCAGATTGGCTGCACATCCCCATAACCATTTTCATCCACATACAATACATCCTCTACAAGCTGCTCCTGGTCAGTCTGGGCCCTGCTGGTCGGCCATTTATCAGGCTAATGGAGAGTCGTACAGATGAATGTTTCAGACGACTATTTACCCAACGGATCCCTGTAGCTTCTCCCTGAATTCATGAGGGTTGATCCCATGTCCTGTTGGAGTCCCACAAGGATCCCTATGGGGACCAACTGCAATATCTTTGAAACCTTCTACTGTTGTCGCCCTCCGTCTCCGTGCTGCCGCCAGCTCACCACCAGGGGGCCCCCTCAGTCCCTCTCCTGACGCTCCACCTTGCGGGGGTGGCCTGCACACACCTGCAGATTATCTGATCAGTTCCGGGATTATAAGAGGAGCCTCCAGCCGACACGTCTACGCCAGAGTGTTGACCCTTGTGGTAACTAAGAGCCATCTGAAAGCCTCGAATTATTATATGTGCCTGTTTTAACCTCTCGTCTCCTCGCCTCAGGTTCGATCGAGCCCTGGACCCAGACAGATCCGGACCCAGTCGAGCCCGTTGAAAGGGATCTGGATCTCCTTGCCCTGGAGGACCCCGCACCGCGACCCGCACCGAGTCGCTCTCCTCTCCCTCACTTCCCCTGAGCAGGAGCTCATTGGGCCCCGAACCCAGCCCCGGCGTTTCCGACCTGTCTGCAGTTCCAAGCCTCTTCCGCTCACATCACCTTTTTCCGTCACTGAATAAAACCCTTAAAGCTTCAGTTTTCTCCTGAGTGTCTGCTGCATGTGGGTTCGGAATATTCCTAAAATCATGACATCTACTCTTTAGGCTGGTATGTAATTAGACTATATTGCCAAAAGTATCGGCTCACCTGCCGTGACTCACACATGAGCTTGAGCGACATCCTGTTTAGATAAAAAAAAATCCTGAAAACTATTTTTACTTGAAGGAAAATCTGAAGGTACTTACAGTGCAGCTCTCTGTCAGACTTTTGATTAATTAGAATCACAGATTGAACTTCTGATCCCATAATAACGATTAACCATAGCTGCCATGGTAAATCATTTCTGATAACTATTGTGATAGTCCTTAACATTAATAAGATCAGGCAGCTTGTAATCATAAATATGTAGATGTATTATTGTTATAAAGGAAGAAAATGTGTGTCTGTATCAACACATCGCCCTTGGCGCTGCTCTGAACCCATGAAGCAGCTTCCAGCCTGATCCCAGGTGACCCTGATCTAAACTAACCAACCTGTCGACTCGTTTCTCATCTCTTTCGTTTCTCATAATCCTGAACTTGTACATCTCGTTCCCTGACATCCGTGTAGCTGTGAGGAACGAAGCTTTTGCTACCTTGAAGGTGAACTTCCTGTTCTTGCATTCTCGCGGCGTGCAGAACAGGATTTTGTAGCTGGGCAGCGGGATGCTTCCCAGCACGGTTTCTTCTCTGCTGTCTGGGGACAGAAAGCATTTCAGTAAGGAAGAAGACATGCGGGTCAGAACCTCGGCACCGAGCTCAGGCGCTTTGCTTCCTACCTTTGTAGTAATACAGACAGTAGTTGGAGAGGACGAACCACCGCCTCTTCCACAGCTTCAGACCAGAGCTGTCCTGCAGGAGCAGCGAGTCAAAGACGCATGAAGATAAATCGCCTTGCAAAAGTTTTCACATTTATTTAACTTCTTCAGATTTTGTCATTTTATGAAGCTTTGTATTTTCTACAGGGATTTTTATGCGACAGACCAACAGAGTGGTGCAAACTTAACTAAACTTCTCCAGAAATCTCATGTTTCTTACAGTTTGTTCAAGTCTGAGCAACTTCCAGGATCCTGGTGAGGAAAAGCCTCCGCTTCCCAAAGCATGATGCTGCCGCCAGTGGTGAGTTCAAACATATTTACATGAAGAACCAACAGTTTAAGTTTGGCTTCATCTTGCAAGGCTTGTTTCATTTTGTTAGAATTTTACTTCAATCATTTTTTTTCTTGTTTCTATTTCTTGATACAAGAATCAAACATGGAGAAGCAGAAAAATTCAGTTTTTATGCTCCATTAATCTGGAACAAACTTAAAAAAAACTGCAAAACAGCTGAAACACTGAGCTCTTTAAATTAAAGCTGCCATTGATTTATAATAACTGGAACATATATTTGCACAAATTGGAATTACAAAAATAAATTGGCTTAATGGGGAAAAAAAATCACATTTTTTGATAAAACTTTTCGTGTTACAGTGAGGAGGTTTTCTGACTGCATTGAAATTTTATATTTCGCAAAATTGCCATGGAAAAAGTTCCAGTTCTATTGGCAGATTATTTCACTGACAGCCAGACAAAATGCCTGGTTAGAAGTAAAATAATCTGCAGTGAATCTGGTCATTTCTCACCAATATTAAGGAATTACTGACTTAAAACAAACTCCTACATCTTACTTGTAAGGAAGTATTTTGTAAGTTACTTTTATCTTATTTCAAATGCACTGAGATTTTTGCTCTAGAAACTGGACCAAAAATACTTGCTAAGGTTTTATTTTTTCAGTTTGACATTCTGTGATAAAGTTTACAGAGGATGAATAGTTTTTTCAGCGCTGCGTGACCCAGACGTACCTTTTTGTTGAGCCAGCCTCTGATGACCACCGGACAGTTGGGGTCTCTTTTAGCAGCCTGGCATCTTTTCCCAAACGTCTGCACCTTCCCATCACTTTCCTGCTCAAATTGGAGGGAGACATTTTGATTCTCCTGTTTGCTCTCTGCAACAAATCATGCATGCAAATAAATAAAAACAAACCTTAATGACAGGAAAGTAAGAAATCGTAGCCACACTGGACGCTTGGCTCACTCTGTCCTGGTCGTCCATCCTTAAAGGAAATGAGCAAATGAAAGAAAATAACAGTTTTAAGCAGAAAACAAAGATAAAATAAAAAGTCGACAGTAACACATGAGCTTGCAGTGGGTCAGTTCTGACTAATATCTGGACCAGCAGTCCGTCACTCCCTTCCACTCACACATTTTCCACATTCCCGCCCAGCTGAGACGTTTTCCCTCCGGTCAACTGTCCGTTCCTTCGGCCGCGGGCTCGGCGTCCTGCTCTCCCACTTCCACCAGGAACTCTCCCACATTTCTATTCTGAGCCGTCAGCCGGCCGGAGCGCATCCCTGGCATGGCAGCGACAGGTGACAGCTGCGTCTCCATGGTAACAGGGAGGGGCCGCGAGCGTGAAAACCAATCTGGCAGCAGGGGGGGAAGTAAAGGACGGCGCTGCCAAACGGCAGAGGGCCCAAAACGTGAACACATGCACGGAGTGGAGGGATATTCAGGGTTTTAAAGGGTTTGGATTCCCGTCAGACATGCAGCCTGCTGGTGTTTCACTGCAAAAACACAAAATCTTACCAAGTATATTTGGTCAAGTTTCGAGTACAAATATCTTAGTGCACTTGGAAATAAGACAAAACTCACTTAAAAGTAGGTTTGTAGCTACAAGGCTGGTTTGAAGTAAATAATTCCTAAATTATTTAAACTCCTGAACTCAAGCTACACCTAATGCAGCTTGATCTCATAAATTATTTACACACACATATATTACATAAATTATTTTATTTATTTATTTTTGTGTAGTAAATTTCTTAACCTGTCCGAATTTTGTACCACAGAAAAAGCAAGGTATTATGCAGCTTTATAGCTCCATACAGAGGCTTGTTTTAAGTAAATAATTCCTTAATATTGACAAAAAAAGTTCTAGTCCCACTGGCACCTTTACCTAGCATCCCCAGCCAAGCCCAGCCGAGCCCAGCCGTTACCTAGCAACCCAGTTCTAGTTCCACTGGCAGATTATTTTCACTTTTAATAAAACATTTCTCCCATGTTTTAAGTGAATTTATCTGCTAATAAAACTAAAACTTTTTCATCAATATTAATGAATTATTTACCCAAAACAAGAGCATATATCTTGCTGAAAAGTTTATTTTAAGTTAGTTAGTCTTATTCCAAGTGCACTAAGATATTTGCACTATAAACTAGACCGGAAATACTTGGAAAGATTTTGAGTTTTTGCAGTGTAGTTTCTTTTAATTATGCATAAATTATTTTCCATTTCTACATATCCTTTGGTTTATACATTAACAAATCTAGAAAAGTACTTCTTTAGAAGTTTTTCTGGGTCACACCTGTTGAAACCGGTTTTAAATTTAGACTTCCTGGTTCGTGACACATCGCCACAGATGAAGCTGAAGATAAAAACATCACGAGAGAAACCCAACACTGAACCCGACCCGCTTCACGGGAGACCACGAGGTTCTGATAAGGTTGGCCGCATCCAGAGCCTTTGTGAGCCCAGACCACAGTCCCCAACTGGGGAGGCTTTGGGTCGATCAGACCAGACAATCGGCTCTTTGTCAGACAGGCGAGGAGAAGCTAACCACTTTGTAGCCACCGGTTGTGTGGGAGTTGTGAAATATTTGGAAAATCTTCTCCTTAATCAGGCAAGTTCTCCGGCTGGGAGAGGAGAAGACTGGAAATGCTAAAGAGGGACGGAGGGGAGGAAAAATGGGGGTCTGTGTGCGACACAGAGTGGGCATTGTGATGCCCGAACGCATCATGTGAAGACGCACACAGAGCATGTTGAATACGTTTAAAGGCTGGAAAATAAAGCTTTCTCTCTTGGCCAAACATTGGCGAATCTCCATCATTCTTGATGCTTCAAATGTCAAAATAAAATCAAAGTGAAGCTTCGACAGTAAAGCTGGGAGATTTTCTCATTTACAGATGTAAGAGTCCAACATGCAGACGTGAAAAAAGTTTTTAATCTGACTAAATATGATCCAGACACAAAAAATAATCCTTTATTGATGAGGTTTCATTTAAAATATTCTTTAAAATCTCCCGTTTTTAAAGTGTTTATGTTCAGTAGGTGGATTACCTGAGCATCTGCGGCCGCCTGCTGCCGTCCTTCATCTCCATCGCTGGGCGTTCTTCCTCACAGCATCCCGTCAGGTCCGGCGCCGGTCAGCCCTCTGTCTGCTGGTAAATACGTTTTTAATCGTTCACATGTGAAGCTTTTTCTGTTTGCTGCTGCTGCACTTTGTTTTGACTGAGTCTGAAACGCTCTACCTCCGCTGAGGCTCCTCAGTGCTGAAACACTGAACTCTCTGTGAGCCCCGTCTTTCTTCTTCTTCAGTCTCCCTCCCTCACACTCTCACCCTGACATTGACCGCCTCTCTGCCGCTCGCTCTGTGTGGGTTTGTGGCTCAGGAATTTACAATAAAACAGCTGCTCTCTGTCTTAGTAAATTAATAATCAAATATTACAGCTTCATGACGATAAAAATGTAAATATTTGCCTCTCCATATGTGCAGTCTGTCAGTCGTTGCATCTTAAATTTATATTTCTGACCATTAAATACCAAAATCATCAGAAATGAAGAAAAAAGAACCAAAGTTGGGTTGTTATGACTGGATGAATTTGAAATATGTTGCTTTCTGGAATGATGGTTGATCATGTAAATTTTACAGAAATTCTGTATTGGAGAATGATTTAATATCAACCATTTATATTTATGGTCTGTTATTGTTGTACTTTTCTTTCAGTATATTTTATGTTCTGTTATGGTTGAACACAGTTTGTGTGGTGAGTTTTTTTTCTCATGTCTTTGTAATTTAAGCAGTTGATTTACATTTTGTGTTTAATTTTACTTTGTGTCTTAAGAGATATATTTATGTCTTTTTAGGAATGTCTGTAAATTATTCTTATAATAATGTGGATGTGAGCCTCAGGAAGAGACGAATAGGAATCGTTACATAAAGAAATAATTGTCCTTTAAGATGAAAAACATACAGTTTCAATTACTAAGTAATCACAAGTCAAATGCAGTTCTTTGAAAAATGTTTATTTTTTCTGTTTTTCATCTAAATAGGATCTGTCTGACATCATGAGTCAGGTTAAAATATCTGACAAAGCAACATATTATGCTTTCTGAGCTATAACTGCTCAGAAAAATGAGGTTTTGGAATGGCCTAGTTAAAGTCTGGATTTTATATCAGCTCAAAATGTTGTAGAACGATCTTAAATCTTCCATTTATTCTTAAAAACTGTTGAATTAGATGAGTTTTTAAATATTGATCTCAGATATTTGATGGCACCAAATATCAGGATAAGGAAGCAAAAATATGTAAAACATTTACAAAGTCGACTTCTGGACCTTTTATGTCCGTTTTGTTCTTGGCAAAATTATACTTCATGTTCATTCTTATTCAATTGTGACTTAAAAATTCAGAAAGAACCCAAAAAACTTTTTAAAATTATTTTTGACCCTCATACTAAGAAAAATCAATAACGTAAAATGATAATAAAAGAGACACGTGATTATTTTAACCTTTTATGTTATTATTTATAGAGTAAGTGGAATAAGTTAAAAACTAAACCTTACTGGTGAGAGAAACAGAAACACCTTTAGGGAAACACCTGAAGCTGCTGCAGGATGTTAGAAATCCTCCTGAACTCTAATTCGTTTGTCTAGACTGAAAAGTAAACACATTTTCCCAGATGGGTAAATTATATTTAACTCTGCTGCTGCACTGACTCAGCTCCATGCTTTCCTCACATGTCCTCTTTTTAGAAAGTGGGTCTCTGGTGCAATAAATATACCTGCAGCACGCAGCAAAACAAACGCAGAGCTACTACAGCTGCAGGGAAAAAAATAACATCTCATTTCGTCTGAGCTGAAATAAGTGAAAACATTTTGGGTTTTGCTTCATTTAAAGGGGAAGTATCAGGAAAAATCTGCTTTTTTAGCTTAACTTTCATCAAAAGCATACCTGGGGTTTCACCTTGGTCCTTTCCTGAATGTCAGAATGTCCTTTAGTCTCCTGTTCACACTCCCCACTCAGCTCCTTCAGACTAGCCAGCAGCAATTAGCTGAGCATCAGCTGAGCTCATTGTAGGAGCTACTTCTCAGTGAAATGCTGGTAAAATTGTCGTTAAAGGGTTAATAGAGGAGCCATGTTGGGATGACTTCCTGAAGTGGAGTTTCAGAAAGAGCTGGAGTTTTTAAAGAGACAAAGGCCCAATTTCAAGTCGTTAAGTTATTTAGTCAAATGTCTTTAAAGTTTTATTTGATATACAACTCTGGAAAAAATTAAAATGATCAGTTTCAATAATTTAAATTTGTTTTAAGTAAAATGAACATTGTTCTTTACTGACAACATGTCTGTGAAATTCAAAGCAACAATTTAGTATTTATTTACAGAAAATGAGAAATGGTCCAAATAAGGAAAAGATGGAGATCTTTCAGAAATAATGCAAACAACACAAGTTCATATTCATTTAGAAACAACAACACTAATGTTTTAACTCAGAAATCAATATTTGATGGAAAAACCAGGAGGTTTTCAATGAGCTTCACTGCAGTGGGCTCTTCATTTTTTCCAGAGCTGTATGTAGCATTTTGATAACATAGTTACTTAATTATGTTAAGAACTGGAGCTGTGTCTGGGAAACACTTTCCTCTGCCTCTTTAATGAGCCTGGAAGCGGTGAGAGTGAGAGCTGATGTTCAGCAGCAGGCCAGAGATATCGCAGGCATTTTAAGTGATCTGATAACGAGAAGGAAAATGTCTGAGAACAGCAGCCTGGTGCGAGGCTCCAGCTTTAAATTCATGACAAAAATCACAACAGGAGTTACTTCTACATGCAACTGAAGCTCAAAAGTCCTGCAGCCCTGACAGAGCGGCAGAGAAGCATCCAGCTGTTGCTCACATGGGAAACATGGCATCTCATAATTAGCATTAGCATCTCACTTGTTCCAACCGTTTGGTTTCTGACAAGGTCGTGACCTTCAGGATGTCCAAACACTCAGCATGCAGAGATTTACCCCCCCAGTCCCAACCACTTCAGATGCAGTAATAATCACTGACAGATGCATTAATATCGATATAAAAACCAGCAGTTATTTTTTTCAGTTTATTGCTCAGTATAATGTTACAGTTACAGCTGAAGGAGTATCACTGTGTGTGTTTAAAAAAAGTCATTTCAGGAAACTTGACTGATTCAGAACTGGAATATTTACATTAATTTCCACTGATTCGAATATAAAAATAATAATAAATCAATTCCAGACATGCTGTCCCAGGAAACCAGCAGGTTGTGTTAAACCTTCACTCTGAAGAGTTGCTGAAATTTAAACTGAGCATCAAAATCGAGATGAAATTAGATTTAATAGCTAAAAAAAACTGATTAATAATTATAAATTTACCTCATGTGTCTGCAGCTCGTGATGTTTTTAATGTTTGACCAAAGTTAAAATCTCATTAGGTGGAGTTTAACGCGTGTGCTGACCCAAAGGGCCCACCAGGTGGTGCTGTTCCAACATTTATCCACCTGCTGAACGTGGCGCTAATCTTACGATGTTACAGCTCAAATAATGACAATGTTTGGGAAAAAAATAAATATTTTTGTCTCTCATTTCAGAAAATGAAACTTATATTATTTTAAAAAATCAGTTTGTTCATAGAAATGAACAAACTGTTGACATTTCTGCTCAAAATATCATTTTTTACTGATCTGAGAAAAAAGTCAGAATTGTGAGACAAACACAAGATGCTGATATTTTGACTCGTCCGATTCAAGCTGCATCTTCACGGCTCTCTGCAGCACGATGGGCTCCACCGCTGCCCATATGTCGAGCTAAAAGTGTCGCTTGTGCCTCTCTGAGTTGCAGGCTTTAGATTACAGAGCGCTCGCATGCCTGGCACATACTGAACACACAGAGGGAGGTCGGCTGCATGATCGATGGCCACTGATGAGTTTCCCGACTGTAGATCAGGAGCCAATCATAAATCACCTCTGGAGTTACATACACACTGTTATATAAGTACACATAATATTTGCTTTGCTGTCCGTGAACCTTTTGTTTGGCATCCCAAAGGATGAGTAAAAAGCCTCGGTATTTATGGTTGCTATGGAAACTTGACCAAAAGATGCTGCTCCTCATCCGTTACCATCGTCCTCTCTTAGCATTTCAGCAACAGAAACTCAAATCCTTATCCAGCTCTGAGCCCGTTTGGCTCTGCTGAATGTTTTTATGTCTTTCCCATTTTGCAGAGCAGCTAAGAGAAATGACGCCGTGTGTCACGTTATATCTGCTCCCCTGAGGAACAGGAAGCCGTAGATTAACAAATCAAACTATTGATTTACAAACTGCAGGAGTATAATGCTGTTTGAATTCATCTGTCTCAGAATGATGGAAATCAGGTCTTCTATCATCATCGGCCAGCCGATTCCGTCAGAGCACACCGTGGTTTGTTTTGTTTCCACAGAGATCGACACCAATCAGTCAGGTTTCACCGGTAAATATCAACACACTCGATCAAACTTAAAGTTCTGTCAAACTGACATGTTTCCTGTAGTCTTATGCTAAAAATGCCTGAAGATTTCACAATTATTTCCTACTGGAGCTGTTTTGATAAAGTCTTTCAAGGTCTTAGTGGAGATCATATATCACAAAAAGGAATAAAATAAACATTTATGTTAACATAAATTAACATTTATGAATAATGTGAAAGATTTAACATTAAAATAAATCATTTTTACTGGAAGAGCATGGATTAATAACAGATTATCCACCTTTGATTAATTGAGGGTTGCCTCAAACATCAAAGTTAATTCAGTGGGTCACTGCTGCCTCAGCCAGGCATCGTTTCCATTGTTCAGGAGGTACTGAGTGTCAACTGGCAGCAGTTAAAGTGATTCACATTCTGGCCTGACTTGTGCAGCCGTTTACTCTGGATCTACACATTGAGTGATGTTCTCCGTGCCCGCTGCTGTACTCCCGCCTTAATCCCACTAAATCCCACGTCTGCTTCTCCTAGAAAGAGTCTGATTTCCAAGCAGGACCTTCTAAAAATGGGCCCATTTGACCCTTTGGACATTTCAAGCTGCTCTAATAGATCATCAGAAAATAGTCATGAAATGTTTTGGTTTGGTTGCAAAAAAAATAAATAAAATTTGTTCCAAAAATGTTTATTTTTAGAGATTTGAAAACCACTGACCCATCCAGAATAATAACAGTTCTTTACATTTGAACTTGATCACAGTTAGTATTTGCAGAAACTCTTTCTGCTAACATTACAGCTGTAAGTTTGTTGGGAGGAT